GGAGTCAATCTAGAAGAGATGGTCACTGGTACTACTGCCACCTTTTACAATAGGGAACAGGAGGGGGGAGGTGGAGGCTCAGGAGAAGAAAGGACATCAGACATGCCCAGGAACTAGCTGCACTTGCTAGCCACTGCCCATCAACCGCCTCCCAGATTTTCCAGATCATAACACTCCCGAAGTGCCAAGTGTTATGTATGTCGGGAACCGGGCACTGGGCACAGAACTGCCCTAATAGGAATAGGGCCCCGAGGGCCATGCCACCACTGCAAACTGGCCATTGGGCTGTTCTGTCCTATGGCAAATAACCAGGCGGGAAGGCGCCCACAGGACAGTGGGCAGCTGCTCATTGAAGAATGGCCTGGCCCGGCCAGCAAAGCAGCAGGAGAGAGCTGTAACAGGTCTGGAACCTCGGGTGAGCAATCAATGTGGCAGGAAAGTCAGTAAATTTCCTCCTCGATACCGGAGCTGCGTATCTCGTCCTTACCTTTCCCCCTGGACCCTGAGCACCACATGTGAAACCACGGAAACTGTTGCACCTACAGTCCTCAGAAGCATACAGACAAGCACCCCTGAGAGCTGTTGGGGAGTGTTTTACCCCAACCCTGAGAAAGACAAGTGCTCCACAGAAAACCCTATCTCAGACCCATCAGTCTTTAAACCAGTAAATGCTTTTATACCATTCCTGTGTTTAAAGTGAACCAGCACCCATGCCTGTCAGCCCTAAGATTTCCTCTTTTCTAAACTTCCTATGACACTAACCCACACTCCACGGGCACTGCCATCTCACAGCCTTACCCCTGCCTTTCCTAAACTGTCTACCTATTTTGTTTCTTCCAGACGTCCTCAGGTTACCAATGTCTCTGAGCCAAGTGTGCCAAACCCAGGATCACCTGCTCCTGGATCACCCCAACCTCATCCATTGTGGGTCCTGAGTGGACAACCCCTTCCAACAGAGTAAGAAGGGTGTGAACCCAAAGCCCCGCTTCATGCCCTTTTTGCCAGCTAGAAGCAGCTAGAGATGTCAGCACCCAGTACCCCAAAGATTTGGGTCCATACTCCTTTAGTGGGGAAATGTTAGGTAGCAAGAAGCAGAGATGTCTAAGGGGCATGCACCAATTCAAGCCCGTGCCAGGTGTGCTTAATTCATCCAATGGGGTCAACCAATACTTTCGACCATGCCTTCCAGCCGAAGGCCCCATATACCGGGACCTTGAGACCATCCAGCCCTTTGGCTGCTTCTCCGGTTGCTCACCTTCAGCCCAGCTATGCCAGGTTTCTCTCTGGCCTAGGCCACCACGTATGCGTGTGCACTCCCTGGTTGGCCGTGTTCAGTGACTGCATAGCCTGAAACTTCTTCTGTTCTGTTCTCTTATACAAACTCACTTGGAAAACAACCGAGGCTTCAGAGTGAATTTTCTCATTTGCGAAGCCAAGAACTGAGGTATTTCCCACTTGAGAAACCTAACAACCATAGTCAAAATCAACTTGAAGCAAATAGAACTACTAACTACACACTTCCTACGGATCTCATCCAAAAGGGCCCTTTGATTGTTTTAGGGTTCAATCCAGGGTTCCATGTTGCTTTTAGTGGTCACAGTCCCCTTGTTCTCCTCCAATCTATGAGAGTGCCTCAGTCTTTTATGACCTTGATGGTTTTAGAGTATGCTGTTCTCGAAAGTCCCTTATTTGGGTCCAGCTGTTATTTTTTTCTGATGTAGACATGGGTTATAGCTATTTGGAAAAATGATGGCAGAGATGAAGTAGCCTTCTAATTCCAACCTGTCAGCTTAATCGCTGCAGATGGTAATCTTGACCATTGGGTCAAGGTGGTGTCTGCCAGTTTCTCCACTGTAAAGTTCGTCATTCCCTTTGCCACAGCCTATTAGCTAGCAGCAAGTCATTAAATCCACAAATTCAAGGGCAAGAGTGACTTAAAGTCTATTTCCTAGAGAGAAGATGATCAAAGAATTTGTGGTCATACATTAAAACCAGTTCAATAATTAGTAAATGTCAGGAGATTCTCCAAGCCTATTAAAAAATATTGTTTTCCCTCAGCTTCCTATGCTAACTGATCATCTATCACCCAATGCTTAATTTTATACCAACTGGTTCCTTAAATAGTTCCCCTTTCAAGTTTGTTGGGGGGGAAAAAAGCCAACAAAAACCAACAACAAAAAAACAGGTACCACCTTATCAAACAAAAACAATTTCCTACTCAGCCCATTGTTTACAATATCCACCTATTTCTAATGCTCCTTGTGTCTGGTGGCCCAGATATTTGTCTACACTGTAGCAATGCATCTGTGGGCAAACGGAACAAGTTGGTAAGGCTCTTCTGCTCACAGGCTGTAACTCCCACAGAGTGACAGGGTAAGAATGTGTTAGAGGACTCTGAGGTGACTGGCCAGTTTTGCAATTCTGTTAAATATAAAGGATGCAATTTTAGAAGCAGGAAGGGAGAATTTTATAACTACCAAGCAAGAAGAGCCAGAACAGTGGACTATATCTGAGATCCCTGGGAGGCAGCAGCATGAAATAAGAGTGGCAGGCTTCCTAGTCCATAGGAGGAAAGCTGAATGTGGGCAGGAAGCTGGCTTGCAGAGTAAAGTGCCCTTTGGGCACTTATTAGCACTAAAGGAGCTTTGTAACACTTACCTAACCAGGACGGAGGCCAAGAGGTATAAAGTCAAGGGCCAGAGGGAGTAAGTACTGGCATAGCTGAGAAGAGGCACTGCTAACAAAGGCACTGTATCCTTAATGTTTTCTGATCTTGACTTGTGAACTATTAACGCTCCTAACACAGTCCTTAAATAGAAATATCTGTGAGTTGTGTGGCCATTGCAACAGATTATCAAACCCAGCAGAAAAGTAGAGGAACATGGGATGAACTCATGATCAGAGTTGGTATCAGAATTGGGTAAGAAGGTTGGAGGTTGGAGCAGGACGTTAGACGTGGCTTCCAAGCCATTGCCTGACATCAGATTCAGGTGTCGGGAGAGGTATGCAGCTCACTTGTAAAGAATGGCAGCGTGAAAACACACTCTGTGAAAAGAAAATTAAGAGAATTATTGAAAGTCCAGAGATGGCCCAGGCTGGGAAGACATTCAGGAAGTGAAGATGGTACTCCCTGGGCAATGAAGAGGCCACTCTGGTACAGTTTAAGCAGGAACTAAAGTTACAAAATTATAATCACGGGAGTTAAAGGCATGATGTCTAAGAGCAGGGAAAATGCTATTAAAAGATAATGCAATTTTTCCATGGATTTGTCATTGGACAGACAGGTTTTTCTGGTAGCTTGCTATTAAAATTGCTTTCTTAATCATATCTGTTCCTGGGGGTCCACTGTAAAGATTCACTGACACTGCTGTATATCAAGACCTCTTGGCCATAAGCTATCTATTTGACCACAGAGGAAAGGCCTTCTGAGAATAGTTTATGATATCCTGTACTTACCAGACTAAAGAAGAACAACAAACCAGTGTTCCTTTTATGGTATATAGTTAACTCACTGGCTTCTTGTAGATTCCTACTGAAATGGAGCCCCATGTCTCAGCCCGGCACTGCGCCATGAGCTTCAGAGGCTATACAGCTTTATGGGGACAGCCTCAGCTTTCTTCCGCAGAGCTGCTGTGGATTTGAACCAGCCATCATGCAGTTAGCAGCCCAGTGCCTAACCTACACCACCACCAAGAATTCCAGCTGTTTAAAATAGGCATCTTTAAAATTGAACATTAGTCCAGACTTTAACAAGAAACTAAGGCTCTACTTTCAGACGGTTTACTTGATAGATACCATGTGCCTGTGGTTTCGGATTCTCATTCAGGTGTATCCTTAGAAAAATCGTTTTTAGGGACTAGGATCTGCACATTGATATCCCTAAAACTGTCCTGAATTGGTTACTTCCCAAGGTTTGTATTCTCGAGTTTGGAGACTATGGTTCTGAAAGATTCCACCCAATCCAAGGATTTCACCTACAAGCGATGATTCCTCAAGTTTCCTTTAGTCCAGACTTCTTCCTTTCTCTAAACACTAAATTCTCCAAACTCTGCGTCGTCTAGGACTGAATTGCTTCACTCCGGGCTTCATTTTCCCCCCTTTCACAACTTCGAACTTGACTTCCCAAAGATACAGTCAGCTCCCCTCCTTGGCTAGACACCCTACCCCTTCCTCACCTGTGTAGCTTGGGCTCCTACCTCGAGAGGCCATGGAAAAGTGGCAGTTTTCGAGAGCGGCGCAAGTTTCTGGGAGGAGAGCGGTGAGCGCTTCTATTTCTGACAGACATTGCGCACATTGAATTGGAAGGCTTCCACGGCACAGCCTGCAGATGCCGCCTCTGCCTCTCATGGCACTCTGCAGTCATTTCTAGTCCTTTCCCCCCATGGTATCAGCTGTTTCCTTTCTTAAAATCGTTTTATTAGGGGCTCATACAACTGTTATCACAATCCATACATACATCAATTGTGTAAAGCACATTTGTACATTCATTGCCCTCATCATTCTCAAAACATTTGCTCTCCACCGAAGCCCCCGGCATCAGCTCCTCATTTTTCCCCTCCCTCTCCGCTCCCCCCTCCCTCATGGGCCCTTGATAATTTATAAATTATTATTTTTTCATATCTTGCCCTGTCCGACGTCTCCCTTCACCCACTTTTCTGTTGCCCGTCCCCCAGGGAGCGGGTCACGTAATTTCTAGTCTCAGGCACTGAAAGCAACAGCGTGAAATGAAATCTCCGGGAGGTGGATCGATCACGCCTCCTCCCTCACGCTCCGCCCGCAGCAGGCGCCGCCCACCTCCGCCGGTCCGCCTCCCCTTAAAGCGGGCCTGCACGCAGCCCGGCTTAGGTTGGCGATGGACCCGCCTTCACCGGTCTTTCCCAGTTGAAGATGATAGAACCCGGAGGAACTCGCGCGAGACGCAGTTGTAGTCTCGCGAGAAGCCGGAGTGGCGGCAGCGATGGCGGCGGCGGCGGGAACCGGCCCTGGCCCGGCCGGGGCCGCAGGTGCAGCGGCAGCGGAAGAGGGAGAGTCGAAGGCAGCGGTGGCGGCAGCAGCCGCTCCAACTGGAGATGGGACGTCTGCTGCCCCAGCAGCGGAACCCAGTTCCGGGGAGGCCGAAAGCGGGTAAGACGCCCTGCAGCCCGCAGCCTCGCAAAGTGGCCCTCCCCTCTCGGAACCCCGGGGTTCCCGGGAGCCCCCAGCTCACGCCCTCTCCGAACGGGGGCCAACGGCTTGTTCAGCTCGCCCCAGGACTGCAACCTCGCCCGTCGGCTGGGCGATCCTTGTGAGCTTCATCGCAGACTAAGCCCCTCTCCGCACCTTTTCGCTGTCCCAGAACCTAAGGCGCCTTTTCCTTAGGTTGTGTCACTGGCCCCTCAGCCGGCACCGAACTGGTAGCTCACTCTTCTAGCAGGGACCCCCCACATGTCCAAGAGGAGACACTGTCCTGCAGTACTAGACTGGAAGAGGTAATGGTCCCTTTGAAAACAGTGGGAGAGCTAAATCTGTGTGAGCCGCCCCCAGGGCCAACCTTGAGCCATTTAGCTTCCCTTCCGTGCCCCAGGGGTCTGCCCCCTGGGCGACACTCTGCCTTTGTAACCTTAGCATTGAGTCTGAGGACGCGCTTAGCTGAAAAAGTTGAAGGAGTGTGGAGTTCGCTTTTGGGAGTGGGCATTTTAAGTTTTATTTCCCCTGAAGATTCTTACTTGAATGCATTCATTATCTTATAGGGATGCAAACTTGGTTGATGGTGGTGGCTTGGAGACAGAATCTTCTAATGGAAAAGATACACTAGTAAGTATTTCTGTTTGGATGTTTGCCAGGCAAAATAGGGGTGGTTTTAAAATTCTTAAACCAGGCAGAAATGCAATGAGGTCAACTAATTTGATTCTCTTAATTACTTTCTGTACCCAGGAAGGTGCTGGGGACACTTCAGAAGCGATGGATACACAGGCAGGCTCTGTGGATGAGGAGAATGGCCGGCAGTTGGGCGAGGTGGAGCTGCAGTGTGGTATATGCACAAAGTGGTTCACAGCAGACACCTTTGGCATAGATACCTCGTGAGTGTATTTCTGAGTCTTTGTACTATAAAGTTTTTATAAAGTAGGTCGGGCCATGTTCAGTTACATAATTGGTTTGTAGGCAAACATAAACACATACTAGTTTTCCTACCTACATCTTCTAACGCCGATTCAGTTAGTAGGATGTTGAATTTGAAATTATTGTCGTTCCCTGAGCATCCCTTCTCACTGCTGAGGACACAGCCCTAACAGGTAGTGTTGCCCCAGATGATGAGTTTACAGTATAATTGGAAGAGAAGAACCATGCACTTCCAAAGTATTTTATAAGCAACTCTGGGATTGAGTTGAGGGTTGTGGATTTGGAGAAGAGTGTTGTATATGATGGAAAAACCTGCTGTCAAAAAACGTGAGCTGATCAGCGTCTCTTCTCTGAGCCATCATGTCTCCTGGCTTCCTCCCCTCTGGGTGTCCTTTGCTCTTTCTTCTGTATAACCTACTTCCATTCATTTACATCTTCGAAATTTAAGTCACTGACCATTGACTGAGATTGAAAGACTTCTTTCCATATTTTAGACATTTAGTCATCTGCTAGCAGGAGAACATTATAGACTCACCGCCTTTTGTAATAACTGTATGCTGGCTCTCTGTATTTATGGTTCAGAATATAAAAGTATATTTAGAAATAAATATTTCGCAACAAGACTGCGTTGTGGAATGAAACACACACACACACACACACACACCATGGGGTTGTAAAGAAGTAGTCTTCCTTTGTCATTTGTTTGCTAACTTACAGCCTCTAATTTACCTTATTGGGGAGCCCCTGATGTCTCCTAACCATAAGGTTAGCAGTTCGAACTCACTGGCCTGCTCCTGGGAAGATAAGACAGTTTAAGAAACCGAAAAGGGGCAGTTCTATGTCGCTAGGGGTCAATCTTACTGTGATTACTCTTCCTCTTTTAATTTAAAAATTAAAGTGGCTTTTAGAAATGCTAATGTGTAATTAACAGGTGAATGAAGCCCTTGGACAGAATGTTAAAAGAAGAAATACTAAAGGATCTAGGAGAAAGACTTGACCTGCCAAGCAACTTTGGCCACTTTCAAAAGGGCTCCGATAGTTAATGAGAATTTGTTCAGACAGGTGGTAGAAAAGAAATTTGCCAGAGAGCTATGTAGAATCAAAGTAAGAATCAAACCATAGTTCAAGTTTTGGTAAATTTGGAGATACCAGTATATACCTGAATTGGAGAAGTTCTACTAAAGCCCAAGTGAATGTCTTAGACTGTGAGATGCCAGAAATAAGCCACACTTGTGCGTGAATATGCAGCAGCAGAAAGTTAAGCATACACGTAACTCACGAGGTGAGTTAGAAGACTTTGATAGAAAGAATGAGCTAACAGATATGAAACAAAGAGCTGCCCTGAACACCTGATTGTATATAAATGAAAATAGTATTCGTAATAGTATTACCTACCTGATGGCATATTGGTTATGTGATATGCAGATAACCTCAAGAACAGCAGTTCAAAACCACCAGCTGCTCCTTGGGAGAGCAAGGGGGCTTCCTACTCCTGTTAAAAGTTATATCTCAGAAATCCACAAGGGCAGTTCTACTTTGCCCGGTAAGATCACTATGAGTTGGCATCAACTTGACGGCAGTGAGTTTATTTGTTTTTTAATCTACCTACCAAGGATCCCTGGTGGCTAGTGGTTACACGCTGGCAGCTAACCCAGAGATCGGCAGTCAGAAATCACACGCTGCTCCTAGGGAGAAAGATAAGGCTTTGTAATCCCTTCAAGAGTTACTGTCTCAGAAACCCACTGGGGCATTCATGAGTCAGAATTGACTCAATGGTAGTGAGTTTATTTTGAGGTGTTTTTTTAACAAAAATAAACTCAATCTTAACACCTCCAGAGAATGTTTCCTAGTGGCTGTAGTTGATAAAGAGCGCACCCTTGGGAATCCACTCATTGAGGATGCCCTAGCTTTAGCAGAGTCCAAGGTAAACCTTGTGCAGATGTATTCTCTTCTACCATAAACCATTTGCTCGAAGGGCTTTTGTTCTTCTGTTACTTCTTTCTCAAGCTAAACTCTCTTTGTGATTTTCCAACCTTCAAATACATCAATCACCACCTTGACTCTCCTCTGCTTTAAGGCATTGGCTTCTCAGTTATATCTTCAACCCCTGCCATACTCAGGTTTTACTCTCCATTGGCTTCTTCCTCTCTATGCATGCAGACAGGTTTTCTCCTGAACTCACCACCTTTTGTGACTTTTTTTGTTTGTTTATGATACCACCAGTCTTAATGATTAGAACTCCATTGTCTATCCCTGCAGAGGGATGCCAGGTCCTGCTACCAGCGTCATGTTGTCCTCAAGGGTACTGGCAAGTCCCACCTGTGTGGACTGTGAGATGCCAGAAATAAGCCACACTTGTGCGTGAATATGCAGCAGCAGAAAGTTAAGCATACACGTAACTCACGAGGTGAGAAGCGTCCAGCTAGGGACCTAAGGCTTCATGTCTTTTAAAGGCACATTCAAAAGACGGGTGGGGGTCGCAGCTCCGCTGATGAGCAAGCCACTTTCTGAATTAGTTTGTCCTCGGGTCTTCTGCTGATCTCTAAATTTTTCATGCTATAGTTCTGTGTCAGGATGTTTCAAGATTTATCCCAGGCTATAACTGGTCTGGAGGTGTCCACCCAGCCTAACCTCAAGGTTGATACATTTACCAGGCTTGTTATCACAGGATTCATCCTTTATTCTCTTAGCAGGCAGAACATTCCTTGGCAAACAGAATGTTTATTCTTGGCAAGCAGAAGTCCCTATTCTGCCCCTGTCAGCCACCTCCATCTTAATGGACATCAAACTTTACTATTTTTTTCTTCTTTCCATCGCTATTACTATCACTCCAGGTCAGACTTTCTTTTTCTTAGACTTCATCTTTTTGGAGCAGTTTTAAGTTTGCAGAAAAATGTGCAGAAAGCATAGAGTTCCCATATAGCTTCTACCAGCTCCCACCATCTCTTAGCCCTAAACAGTGTCTCATATTATTAATGTGGTAGATTTGTTACATTTGATGGGTATCGATACATTATTTGTTTCTTTTTGATACATTATGAACTAAAGTTCCTGGCTTACTCTAACAGTGTTCCTTCTATGTTGTTCATACAATGCAGAATGTCAGGTATTATAATATCTTACACAACAGCTTCATTGACCTAAGAAAAATTACCCAAATTCTACTTGGTGGTTAAGCATTTTGTTTATTTGTTTACCTTCTGCTGGCATTGCTGCAAAAGTATGTCATGTACAAGGGAGCTTCAAAAGTTTGGAAAAATTCCATTATCTGTTAATTCCATTTTTCTATGACCTTTTCAGACCCCCTAGTACTTTCCCTTTTTGTACTCTTGTCAACCTATCTTTTAATAAATGTATCACTTTGAATCTGGTATGACACCTCCACCCGTCCACCCCACCAAACACACACACACAGTGAAGCGAACCAAGAAGGGAAGGAACATAACAGATCAGCAATGGGAGCAAAGCCAAGCCACAAAGCCCCTCAGAAGGCCCCAAAATAGACCAGGCGAAGAGGGGCAGTTCTTGGAACCCCTAGGACCAGTGGAGAGATAATCATAAAAGTCAGTGGACAGAGCTGGAATTATGTATGCTTTTTTTTCCTTCTTTGACCTTTTGTTTTCTGTTTGTTTTGTCTCCTTTGTTGTTGCTTTGTCTACCTATATAAGATAGGCAAGGAAAACAAGTCTGAGGAGACGCAATGGAAGCAACAGTTCCAGAGGGACTTGGGGGAAGGGAGTGGTGAGCAAACAACATCTTAGACAGGAGAACAACTAGGGAATTAAAATTGTAGTATCTCTTCTATCGCTCATGCTCTCGATGACTTTAATATAGATTGTGCTTACTGAACCCGTGGGTAGTGGTGGGGGGCTGGCTCCCCCCATACTTCATACCACAAATGGCACCCAACGTGATATTACAATAATGCAGTCAGACACATTACATGGTAGCATTGCTCACCTCAGCTCCCCTTAGTGGTCCACGTGGCAAGAGGGGGAAGGGAGGCCAGGGAGGGAGAGACCAGCAAGAGAGGCCAGGGAGAGAGGGCGAGAGGAGGAGAGAGCTCTCTGTTACTAACCTAGGCCTATATACCTTTGGGGTGTGCAAGCCCACTAATTACAGGTAAAAACATGCGTCACAGGAAGGGGTTGCACTATACAGCGAGAGGGGTTGGTCTAGGGACATACACTCAATAGGAAGAGGAGGGATTGGGGGTATACATGTGACAAGATGGGCGGATCCTGGAGTCAGGATGGCAGCTTAACTTTAACCTGTTGTCTGGGTCTCCATAGGAACCATTATCAGTAGGGTGTAAACCCCACCTACAAGAACCAAATAGATGACTGCGGGCCTGTCCATTGTCTTTACCAGCAGAGAGGGGGGCGGGGCACTGCAGTCTGGCAACTGATTGCCCTCAGGGGAGATGCCTGAGCATCTGCCCTCCCCCCACACCTGTGCAATCATGAGGTGTCAGCAGGATCAGGTAACAGGCACCAGAAGACCCAAAACAAAAAAACATTATTGTAAATGAGGGGGATCAGAGCAAAGACCCCAAACCCATCTGTAGACAATAGGACATATCCTCACAGAAGGGTCACAAGGAAGGGATGAGTCAACCATCAGTATAGCACTGATGAAACACACAATGTTCCTCTGGTTCTTTGAGGCTTCCTCACCCCCTACTGTCACCTCAGTCCTACCTTTCAGTTCTGGCTACCAGAGCATGTATACTGGTACAGATAAGAGCTCATGACACAAAGAATCCAGGTCAGATAAACCCCTTAGGAACAGAAATGGAAGTAGTGATACCAGTAGGGTAGGGAAAAGGTGGGGGGATAAAGGGGAGGGAGGGGGTACTGATTGCAATGATCAATGCATAACTCCCCCCCCCCCCAGGGTTGGGGGGGAGGAGCAACAGAAACGGGTGAAGGGAAACAGCAGTCAGGGTAAGATGAAAACAGTAATAATTCATATTTTATCAAGGGGTTAGGGTGGGGGCAGGGGGGGTAAGGTTATGATTACCAAGGGCTCAAATAGAAAATGTTTAGAAAAATGATGATGGCAACATATGTATAAATATGCTTGATACAATTGATGTATGGAATGTTATAAGAGCTGTAAGAGCCCTAATAAAATCTGAAAAATAAATTAAAAATAAATTTATCACTTTAACTATAGTACTTCTCTGTCAAGTAGTTTCCATTACCCACCCCCCCAAAAAAAATTTCAATTCTGTCTTAACACGTAGGCTGCCTTGTGCTTCTTGCCTTTCAAGCCTCAGTTTCTTATTGTATCCCTGAAAGATCTTGTGCTGGGTATACTTATGCATATCAGTTAATATACCTTTCTCCTTGCCTGTGCTTTCACCTCCTACACGAATCACCTGCCTCGAAAACCAACTCGCGCTTCCAAAGCAATTCATAATTTATATTCTTGAAAAGTCTTCCCTCATACTGAAAAACTAAAGTTAATACTTGGGTCCTTTGGATTCAGACTATAATTCATTTATAGATCCTGCATTGTAATGTTTCCTGATGGATTTGTTGTGTTCAAAGGAGCTTTGGTGGGGTAGTGGGTTATGAGTCGGGCTGCTAACCGCAAGGTCAGCTGTTCACACCCATTAACTACTCCACAGGAGGAAGACAGCTTTCTGCTCCCGTAAAGATTTGTAGCCACAGAATCTCAAAGCGGCAGTTCTGCTTTGCCCTATAGGGTTGTTCTGAGTTAGAATTGACTTGTTTTGGTGGTATCTTCATGAACAATTGTATACATTTTTTCATCTTTTTATGCATTGTGTCTTTTCCTTCCCAACAATATTATTGGCTTCTTAGTGATATGCCTTATACTTTATTGTCTCCCACGGTTAACTTTTTTTTTAAAACTACTTGAGAGGATTTCCGATTGATTGATTCTCTTTTGTTTTTTTGATTGACTTCTTAATAGAGAAAAGTGAGTTCAGAAGAGTTCACTAATTTGAACCATTTTGGCTATTTTTCAGATCCTGTCTACCTTTTATGACAAATTACAGCTTTCACTGTAATGTATGTCATCATAGTGGAAATACCTATTTCCTCCGGAAACAAGCAAGTAAGAATAACATCTGGGCTGCATCACAATTAGTTTTGTCTGGTGAGCTGGATAAGAAGTGGGATTCAGGCTGAGCAGAATCAAGAGACCTTTGCCTGGTACCTGGGAGAAGTTAAGTTGGGGGTTAGTTCTGAGTGATTGCTATCGACCATTTCAGATCAAATGGTGTCTCTGTTATTTGGTCTAATAATTGTTAATTTTTGACCGAGTAGTTGAATAGTTCCTTAGTACTGTACATAACTTTGAAGATAACTATCTCAACACCGCCCCCTCACCTTGGTTTTTTTATAGACTTGAAGGAAATGTGCCTTAGTGCTCTGGCCAACCTCACATGGCAGTCCCGAACACAGGATGAACATCCTAAAACCATGTTCTCCAAGGATAAGGTAGAGATGGAGTTACAATTGTGCCACACAATCAGGGGGGCTTCTAAATACACTATTTAATGAGTACTTTCTCCCCAATTTTTACAAATAGGTGACTGCATTCATTAGCTAACTTGCTCTTATTTTATGTAATTTACAAATTCTTATAAGATGTGAATGTTATAACATGTTCTTGGCTAGCTATTAGAATGAATCCTTATGTAGTCTGGCTAGCTTTATAAAAGCAAAAATTAATAACCAGGTCTGATGTGAACCTTCTTAGTCTAGTTTAGCTATTTTTATAGAAGCATTTTAGAGATTTTGTGTGTGTGTGGTAGGAGTCGGCCTTTATTACAAAAAATAATTATGTTTTATTATTAAGCTGGAACATTGTGTGACTAAAATTGGGACATCACTAAGTCTTTATTACTGTGATTCACGATAAGAAATACCATGAAAAATAACTTTTTAAGGTAGTAGGAAGCCTCATCTTTCTCCCAAGGAACAGCTGGTAGTTTTAACTGCTGACCTTGCTCTTAGCAGCCCAAAAAATTAGGACACCATCAAATTAGGAGAAAGGTACTATATATACTAAGACAAATATTTGGCTAACTGATGTTTGATACGAACCATACTTGATTTTCGTACAGAATCAATGTAAAGACATACAGGAATGGAACTTTTTCCTACTCTGGGGATTTTCTATATAGTTTAAAATTCCTATTCTATAATCTTTGTTTGCAATTAGTTATTTGTTTAATTATTGGAAGACTAAACAGACTTTTAAAATCTTGATTCTGATAGGATTTTGAAAAGGCCGGTTTCTTTTTTTGTTGTTAGTGTAACTTCAAAAGCAAGTATAAACGTTTTAAATCATTTTGTTTTACAAATTAGGACATTATACCATTTATTGATAAATACTGGGAGTGCATGACAACAAGACAGAGACCTGGGAAAATGACATGGCCAAATAACATTGTTAAAACGATGGTAAGTTGACTAAGTTAAATTCTGTATGACTTCCCTGAAATAATGTAATGACTAGCAGAAGAACAATTTCCTATTAAATCTGTGACACTGAGATACAAACCCAAAAAAGCCAAACTCACTGCCATTGAGTTGATCCCAACTCACAGCAGCTGCTGGTGGGTTCAAACTGCTGACCTTGTGGTTAGCAACCCGTGTCGCCACCACGGCTCCTGGGGAGATATAGTCAGTTGTATAATTTATTAGTTTCCATACATATTTTGTCGTGAGTGAAACCTTTGTTCATGGAAATTTAGCAAGTTTAATTTTATATTGAAATTGGCAGTAATTTTCTTGGGTTGAAAAAAACCCAAAAAACCCACTGTCCCTAAAATAGAAGAGCACCTGGGGTGAAGCACCAGCAAGCTGCTAACAATGGCTGTCTTTGCGGGCTGGCGGGATTGGTGAGGGCTGTGGAAGACCTTGATTCTTCTTTTAATTTAATTTTCCCCATAAAAAAAAATTTTAAAAATTAATTTTCCTAATTGAACTTTTATGATGGTCATAGATTAATTTTCTAATCAGATGGAAAAATCAGTGCCATCTCTCTTGGAGAATGTACCTAGGAATTGCCGTATGGTGGCTTTTCATTTATAAATCTAGTAACACTAAAACACTGCTTCTTTTTAGAGTAAAGAGAGAGATGTGTTCTTGGTAAAGGAACACCCTGATCCTGGCAGTAAAGACTCAGAAGAAGATTACCCCAAATTTGGGCTTCTGGATCAGGTATGTCCGTAGGTTTTATACTCCTCTTTTGCTATTGGAGGTAGGGAACCGGGTCGTGTCTACATTTGTATCTTTGCCACAATGTACACTGCTTTTATGTGCCCTGAAAGTGGTGGGCTTTAGCTAGATAGTTGTTGCTGCATGTGGGAAAAGCAACCATGAACTAGGACATTGTGTTTTTTTAACCGTGGCTCTTCCCCAAAATGTTATAACTGGGAAATGTATCTTTTTTTTAACTTTAGTGTTCTTATTTGTGGTCTAAGTGTGCCACTCTGATTTCTAACCTGCCGTCTCACATTTTGCTTATAAAACACTCTTTGTTAGGAAGAGAAACAATTTCTCTTAGCTTTTTAGCATGAGGCAAGATAAAATTTCCACTCTTGGTTTTATGGCAGAGGGCACAGGTGTCAGTTCAGGATGTCAGATTTTTCAGTTGTTTCTTAAAATATTTGATTGGGTAGGCCTGAAAATATGAGATTTCACTTGAAATATTTTCGTGTAAAATGAGAATTTCTGATAACACTGGGCCTGAATTCCCTGCTAGGAAGCTGAGTAAATAGAGCGCATAGACTGGTTTGTCATTGTGGCTGCCCTGCCCCGTACTCATGATTTGATTACCATTCATCATTAATCTTAACCCTCTGTGACCTTTATACTTGACCTGCATCATACATATTAATTGCTAATCCCTGAGCCAGCCATGTTTGGGACCCCTGAAAGTTAGGATTCTTCAGGATTGTCCCTTTTGAAATTGAATTGGTCTTAGAAATAGGATTAACACCTGCTGTATTGCTATTAGAATTTCTGCTTTCCTAGCATTATCAGATGGGCTTCATGATACACTTTTTGAAATACTTTTTCGTTCTAGGATCTTAGTAACATTGGTCCTGCTTATGACAACCAAAAACAAAGCGGCGCTGTGTCCACTAGTGGGAATCTAAACGGTAAGTGTCGGAATGTCTCTGCTGAAACATTTGTGAGCGGTTGCGTCTATAGGAGCCTGGAATTGGGCATTCTTTGGTTGGCCTTTTACTGTATATTTACTAAGATGCTTTCAAGCCCCAAACTCCATTTTTAGGAACTAGCCAAGGATTTGGCAGATGGTAATGAAGGAGGATGTTTTTGGTCATTTTTATATCAAGGTTGGTCTTAATTGAAACAGATTTAGCATAAAAGATTAAGGTACTATTTTAATGTCAGATTTACTCAGTTTTGGAGTCCTTGTGTGTTACCTCACAGCTAATATTTAATTTAGAAAAATCTACTTATTCTTCACTGTCATCCCTCAATTCAGCTGCTATTTACCGTGGTCATGTCCTGTATTCATTTCTAATTTTTCTTACTCTGAAACTACGTTGTTCAGAAAATGTTTTTCATATTGTCAGCCTTTCTCATTAATCACCTGCTATCGCATGCTTTTTGTGAACTCCTCTGCTGTTGGGAATGCCTTTGGTTTACTAATGGTCATCTCGTGAGAGCCGAGGTAGCTGGGAAGTAGCTAACTATTCGTCTGCCATGTGACGTTATTAGTTTGGCTTTTGGAGTCTTAACACATTAACAATCTCATCTTTTTAATGTTAGTAACATTCTCTTTTTTTTAAACTAATATTCTAAGATGGGTTAGGAATTGTCAAGTATGTTCCCTTCTCACACATTTCCCCCCTTTTAATTGTCGAAATTTGACAAATACATGGTGCCACTTCTGTTCTTACAGGTGGAGCCGCTTTGGGAGGTGAATGCCTCCTCTGTCTTCTTTCAGCCTCTCAGACTTAAGTATTTTGTGGTTTGGAAAATGCTTTTCTGCTGAATTGTGGTAGAAGTTAAAACTAAATGCGAACTTACAGCTTTGTGAAAATGGTGGCAATAGCATTTAATCTGAGACAGTAGTTCCAGTTTAATGTTAGTAATTAAAGCTTGTACATTGTCATATTCTGCCAAACATGGCCAGCAGTTCCTGATTCCTTCTAGATGGGTCTAAAGCTCCTACAATAATTAAAATGCAAGTGACAGCTAGAAAGAATTAAAGGATTAAGGTAATTCAAACTAGACTTACTGATGTTGCTGCAGTTCAAAGTTACCCCTCTTTTGAGAAATGGGAGTGATTCCCGGCACATCCATCAAAATAAGTTCTGTAGAGGTCTGGTCCTGTTTATGCAGAATATGATTTGCCTTCCATGTCTTGATCCTTTTTATTGCAGCAGAACTGCTGATAATTCCCAAGCTTGCCCCAACTTAAGATCTTGTCCTCTACGCAGTTGTTTGGTTAAAGGTGTTTTCCTGCAGCTCGGGGACATTTTCTGCAAGGGAAACCACAAAACTAAGTGAGGGGCTGTCAGAATTCATCAACAATTTCAAAGTGGCAGTTTCAGAAATACTGAAGGTATTCTTTACCTTTGTATAAAGCTATATCCTTTCTGTATAAAATACTTATAGGTAAATTATTGATATTGGTAGCAATTTGTTCTTAATCCTACAAGCCAGGTTAGTCTAACATAGGTTACAAACTTATTACCTGATTTTCAGAGAGAAAAAAAACAAAATAAGAAATTCAGTGCCTCTTCCACAAGCATTAAAAACTGTGGTACAATAGCTCATAATCCAGGATAAAACCAAACTCAGTACCATGGAGCCAGTGCCGATTCGTAGCGACCCATGCATGGGACAGTGTGGAACTGCTGCCCCTGGGAGTTTCCAAGACTGTGACTGTTTTCAGGAATAGAAAGCCCCATTTTTCTACTGAGGAGTGATTGGTGGTTTTGAACTACTGACCTTGCGGTTAGCAATGCAATGCATAGCTGCTATGCCACCAGGCTCCTCAGAATAAAATATAGGTATCTCCCTGGATCATTCCAGTGACCCCAAGTGAAGGTATTGCCAACTTTGAGAAGCACTAGTCTAACATGACTTTTATGCATTGCCATGATCTGAGTATTAATTTGGTGAATAAATGTGAAATGAAAAAAGCATTCTGTCTTGTGCCCTGCACAGCCTTGCTGGAGGGAAACACCTTTAGTTTTTCTGTTTTTGTTTTCCTTGTTTGATGTACTTTTGTTGGATATTCAAGTTAAGTGCTTTATTAAATGTTGTGTCTTTATTATATTTTTTGGAATAGATCGTGCCGTTCAAACAAGTGAAGAGATTCTCTCTTACGGGTGTTTGTGTTGATTTGGTGAGGGTGGGATGGGGAGGCTTTATGTGTTTTCTTTCTAGCTGTGGGTGTTTGGAATTGTCATGAGTTAGAATGCATTTGTGTTGCACCCTCGGAAAGTGTACTAGGTAATAGTTGCAGTTGATTCAGAAAGGGAGTAATACTGAAGTCTGTCATTTACTGCCTGAACTTAGTGTTCTGGGCTGTGACACACGGCTGACCGAACCAGGGTGAAATTCAGCATGCTTTCAGCAAGGAACTCCTCACGTGGTGTTACACAAATGCATGCTAGATGTGTTAGTCCCCATGGGATTTCAGTGTCCACGCCGAGTTTCTGTCACAGTTGGTTGAACATGATCTGCCTTCTCTTCAAAGGAGGAATTGCAGCCGGAAGTAGTGGAAAAGGAAGAGGAGCTAAGCGCAAACAGCAGGATGGGGGGACCACAGGGACCACCAAGAAAGCCCGGAGGTGGGGAGAACATCCACCCCCGCGCACCACTGTCCGAGTATTGTTTATGCTGACAGAGCCCTCTAGCGCTACCCTCATCAGGAGAGCTCAGGTGTTGAGGGTAAAAAGCCTGCCCATTTTTCTCAAGCCTTGAGTGTTTTGCGAGGCAACCCCAAGCTAAGGATTCTGTTTTTCTATCATGTTATTGCACAGATGGTCCCAGGACAGTACTCTATGTTAATAAGCCTGGGAAATAAAGTTCTGTTGAGGCATCTTGAGAAAGGATAAATGGGGAAGGAGGAGTGAAAGTTATTTGAATGTTAGTGCCTTTACGTAAACCGTCTGCTCCCCTTCCTCGGCTGCCCCCACCGTGGTTCAGTACTGGAGGATGAAATTCATTTCACGTGTTTGGGCTGGCAACAGATGGCAAGTGCTCTCACATCTCTGATCTTGCAGTCATTCTTTTATAGTAAGACAGGCACCCTCCTTCCTGCTTCTCTTCCTCCGGACCAAGTCCTGGCTCAGCGTCACACGCATCACTGGGAAGAGCACAAGTAATTTAACTACAACTACTTTGATAAATACTGATCCTTTTCTTATCTCGCTTTTGCCTGTAGAGGGCAGACTAGCCAGTTGGATCAGTGGAAAGCATGTGTTGTCAGCATTTCCCAGCTTTAGGAAATCTGATCACCCAGAAGCCTTTATTACAGAATCAAATACAGTTGCACTGGAGTGGGTTTTGTTTTTGTTTTATTTATATATATATATATTTTTCCTTTCTGCAGTGACCCTTTGTTTTCTGCTCAGCGCCTTCCCCCTCATGGCTATCCCTTGGAACACCCATTTAACAAAGATGGCTATCGGTACATTCTAGCCGAGCCGGATCCCCACGCCCCAGACCCCGAGAAGCTGGAACTTGACTGCTGGGCAGGAAAACCTATTCCTGGAGATCTGTACAGAGCCTGCTTGTATGAACGGGTTTTGTTAGCCCTGCACGATCGAGGTATGTCGGGTATTAATGTTGGATCTGGTGTTACTGTGAACAGCTGTCATCAGCTTTGTCCAACCTAGAATTAGGTAAATCTGAGAGTCTGTTATCCACCTCCACCCTCATCTCTAGTCCGAATGTACAAGAAGTAATTTCCTTTCCTAATTCTTAATCCATATTCTAGTCATTATAGCTAGGTAAGACTGATGGTTTTTAATAATTGAATTTGGAACTAATTTTAAATTTATACTGACTTTGTAAAAAAAAAAATCACAGCAGTTACATATATCTTTCACCATGCTTTTCTAACGGTGACCTCATAGGATGTTATATAGCCATAGTCCCTCTGCCCTGAAGTCATTCCCAGTGTGTAGTTATGCAGGGTTTCCAAGACTGTATCTTTATGAGAGCAAGCAGTGTCGTCACTCTCCCAGAGAGTTGCTGGTGAGTTTGAACCACTAACCTTTGGGTTAGCAGCCCACTGCCTCACCCTCTTGCCTAACCCACAGTGCCACCTCAAACCAGAAAATTAACATTGTTGAATGATATTAACTAGAGACCTTATTTGAATCTCACCAGTGTTTCCCTAATGCCATTTTAACCTATTTCTCCTTAGTCTTTTTAATAATCTTTAATGGTTCCTTAGTAAATCTTTGTCTTGACGCCCCCCCCCCCCTTTTCTTTTCTTTTCTAAATGTATTGATCGCATTATGAATTGTGTCTCAATGAGGGTGTTTGTGCTGTTTTCTCATGATTAGACTGAAGCCACACATTTTTGGGAAGAACACCACAGAAATTAGCCCTTGGTGCATTATTCTTACGGGGTTCATTATATTGATAACAAGGGTATATCAAAAAGTATTGCTACAAAGTCATACCTTTAGTCTATAAAAATATCAAAATGTGAAATTATTGTTTCTCAACACACCCTCCATCTAGAGCTGAACCTTTCTGAAGCTATACATTATCTAACCCCTCCCTAAAGAACTCTGTGCTCTCCAGTCTACAACACATCCAGATGGCAGTTCACTCTCTTTAAGGGACTCATCCTGTTCGTTTGCAGTGCTCTTTGAGTTTGAGGGAACACATGAGTCTGAAGGGACACTGAGTGGGGTTGGGCTTCCCACTGATATCAATGGGACAGCCCTTGCCACCCTGGAAGAACTGAGCAGGTGTGTTGTAAGGGGGAGGTGGGGCTGGATTCCTCGGCACAACTCTTGGACTTTTTCCCCCACCAATGTGATTTTTAAAATTTTCTTAAACTTTTGTAATGTATCAAGATTTTCCTGTTGGGATTTAAAACAAAAAAAGAAAAAAAAGTCACCATAAGCTTCCGAGCGGTCCTCTCTGCCGTGACTCTGACTGAGCCACCAGATCCCCTGGGCTGCCAGTATTTTGAGTGGACCTGTTTTTTGAAGACTCCTTACCAAGACTGAGACAAGGGAATTTGCCTGCAGGTTCTGTTTGGGATGAAAGTGTGTGTGTGTGTGTGTGTGTGTGTGTGTGTACTTAGCTCTGTGTGTTATTGGCGACAGTGACCATGACTTCTGGTGGGTGTCTGTACAATGCTGTTACTATGTTTCCCGTTGTAGTTCAAAAATGCGGAGGGGAGAAACAGATTGTGTATCTGCTTGACTTCTCTTAACAAGTTTTGCTTGCTTCTTTGCTACTTGCCATAGTAACAGCTCTGTCTGCTTAATGGTTTTGTATTCTCCATTTATTTATTTAATCACCTTAAGTAAAAATATTTATATTACATGTTTATTTTCTTCTATGGTGTATAACCCAAGGCTTTTTATTTTTTTATTTCTATTTATTTATTTGTTTGTTTGTTTTATCCCCCAAGGCTTTTTATTTTATTGCTCAAATTATTCCAACTTTGGCTATTAGGGGCTTCCCCCCCCCTTTTTTTTTCTTAGGTTGGCACTGTATTCTTTCATTTAAGCCCCCATTGTTTTTCTTTCTTAATGAAAAAGTATAGGCTGTCTTCACACCAAAACACATGAATTGTTGACATACTCAGATCAAACTCTAAGAGACTGGACACTGTTTACACAAACAGTGGGTGTTGGTGAAAAGGTAAAACTTTGAAAAATACTCATTCACAGAGGCAGAACCGTGCCTAGCAGACTAATGCATGTCATCAAAAAATGAAAGGCTATGATAATAGTAAATACATGGTAGTCCTGAGCCACCATTTTTATAGGGCACCCTCAAAGCAAGAGAGCCAATCCCAAATCAAACCGCTGCCAACCCCATAACCTTGGAATGGCAGTCATCTCACGCTTGGGCGGTTCAGGCTACAGGTGAGTATGAGAGAAAGCCAGTTCACTTAGTGGGGTCAACTCCTTCTGGTGTGGCCTATGAAGGATGTGCGGCTTCCAGTAGGCTATATAGCACACGGCCTGGGTCACCAAGGACTCAAGAGAAATTAGCGTGCCCAATTAGGAATACAGTACCAGGCGTCGCCTCCCCATGGGATCTATTTAAGTACTGTTAAGCTTTTTTCCCCACTGGGAGGTTGCTGCACCTAGTTTACCCACCATCAGAAATGTAATCGCTTTCTTCAAGGCGTACATGCCCCCCCCTCTGCATCTTTTTCTTTCTTTCGTTCCTTCTTTTTCCTTTTTTTAAGTACTTATTTACGTTCTGATATGCCAGGATGTTCCACTCATCTTGTGTTTTGCCTGGCTAGCCTGATTCCTTTGGTTGGAGAATGGTGTTTTGAAATGAAAATCTCATGTCCTACCCGTGCTTATTGTTACTAGGGTACCATTGCTTCTAGACTCTCTCAGGGACAGGGCTAGGAAATATATGTAGCATACTAATGCCCATGCACACACACAGCTGTATGGAATTTATACTGCTGCTTGAGTGTTTTCCCCAGCTTTCTCTCATCCCTGATTTGTAACTTCCCTTCATCAGTGTGTTAGACAGGGTTCCCTAGAGAGATAAAACCAAATTGCTGATAATTTAATATATTTATTTATAAAGATAATTAGATATATAACAAGGAATGAACTGTTAAATCATATACAGTTAAGAAACAGTTAAATTATAAAGCACTACAAATGGCTCAATTCAACTCTCACAGAGATGTGAGAGACTAGCAGTCCTTCCAGTCCAATCTGCTGCCAGATCTTCCTCTATTTATAGAGAGAGCTAGGCTATGTCAGCACAGCAGCCAATCAGAAGGCAGGTCACCAACTGCCAGCCAGGTCACCAACTGCCAGTCCCCAGCTCCAGCGATGTCTTAAAGGGACCTCAACTTACAGCGACACAGTCCACAGGCTAGGGGTCCCACAGGTAGTGTAGCCTTTAAATTGAGGCACAGGACAAGCAAGGCAGCTGCACACTGGTCCGATGATCAAAGAGCGAGAGACAAGTAAGGCGAGACTCACCAAGCCATTTATCTCTCTGCCCTTCAGTTAATCCCACTTGTGTTTATCGGCCAGGCTGGCACAATAAACTATCTCAATCAGTTACAGTAGAACTAGCTCTCTAGTAGCCTTGGTAGTTGTGGTAGTTCCATAATCTGTTGTCAATTTGAGACTTTAGAGTGAAGGGGTGGAGTGTAGCCTGTCATTCAGGTTGTAGCTTCATGACCTCATTTGGAGGCAGTAAGGAGATAAGTTGCTCACTGGAGGTGAGACACACAGACACTCCCTGGGAGACATTCCTGTGGACAAGACACTTGGAGCTGTGCTAGAGTCCTGGAGCTGAAGGAGCCATGTGGAGACCCCTGCCAGCGCTGAGATGCTTCCACTGCCACTGAATCCACAAGACTTTCCACCCACTGGCTTGTGATCTTCCTATTCGGCGTCATTGCATGTGATGTGTGAGTCTGAAGAGGAAATTATAGCTTGGTATCGGGCATATGGGCTAATATCAGACTTGTGGACTTGATCTGGACTAGGCTGGGATGCTTTCTTAATGTACAGTTACTCTTTATATAAAACTCTTTTCCATACACATGCGTGTCTGTGAACATGTTTCTCTAGTCTACCCAGACTAACACATTAGTTCTTTTCTAGTATGCATTTAAAGTATGGTAACTTCAGAAGTGCTGACCTCTGAAATTTCTGTACTAGTTAGATTATAGCATTTATGTACAGTTCTTTCTGCGTTTAGCCTCTGCCTATCTAGTCAGGATACTGTTTTTCAAATTTACTTAGCTTCTTGTTTCCTGCCCCACCTCCTTCAGTATAGGTTGTTCATTTGTGATACCTTCCGTTTCATTTGTTAGTGTTCGTTAGTGCTGCTGTATGTGTGCATACCTGTGTAACGTGTACATGCAGAGTCTGTAAAACATTGCTATGGACCTGAGAGTCAGAGTTGTACAAAGAAGTATACCCCCCAGAGTGGCCCACCCTACTCATGATGTTACCCTGTTCTCATTCCCTCCTTTTTTCTACCACTGTCCCATCATCTAACCTCTGCACTGCTAGTCTCTTTAGTTTCTTTTTTTAAAAACAGTTTTATTGGCATTTCATCCACATATCATGCATTTCAGTAGTTCAGTCATATCAAGAAGAGTTTTACAATCTTTACCACAGTCAATTTTAAAACATTTTCTTCTTTTTCCTCATTGTTATTAATGTAATTTTTTTTCAATATTGGCAAAAATATACACAACAAAACATTCTCTAATTCAACAACTTCTGCATGTATAATACAGTGCCATTGAGTCTCTTTAGTTTCTAGCATCTTCCCTATGTATCTTTTGTACATGTTAGCAGATGCAAATATAGTCTAGCTCTTTAAGTATGCCTTAGAAATTACTATATCAGCTACTTTAGGTATGGGCATTTGGATTGCTTCCAGTATTTTGCAGTTACAAACAAAGCAACCTTGAAGCATGGAATTTTTTTTTTTTTGAGATATATAAGCATTATATTAAAGTCATCGAGAGCATGAGAGTTATTACAATAATACAGTCAGACACATTACATGATACATAGCAACATTGCTCACCTCAGCCCAGCTTGGTGGT